CCTGACATAATCAATATAATGAATTTAATACAGAATCTCATCAATAAACACCTATCATTTATACAGTGATATCCACTTTTCCATGCATGTAGAAAACATTGACCTTTGCCCTCTATGTTGCTACAGTATGAAAAAGTTCATGGGTTGCAAATTCAAATCACTTATTTCAGCTACACCTGTGTAGTCTAAGAAGACCCTATATTGTTGCTTAAGCTCAATTTTTGTATTTTGAAATTGAAAACCCTGAAACATTAAATGGAATGTTCCAAATTCAAAGCTGGACAAGTTCATTATAGAAATTCAGCAGGTCAAGGATTTATCATTAGTGCAGTCCTGAGAAATATCAAAGATCATCATGTATTGCCAAGTATTGCCTATTGATTTGTAAAACTATATTTTCTTTTTATAAAAAAGAAAAATGTCATGCTATCTTTTTCACTTTAGAATTTTAATAGAATTTTGATATTAAAATGTTGATATTAATTTTGTGTTTAAAACTTAAAATAATACCTTGGGCTATATTTTCTGCATGACTCAAATATATATATATTTTAAGCCCATTCCCCATATTAAATGACCAGGAGTCATGGTCACAGTTTTTTGTCCTTGTCTGTCCGTATGTCTGTCTTTAATTGTATTGGTAGCAACACATGCATGTTCTCAAACTTGAACAAAATCTACTTCTGAACAAGAGCACGAGTACTATGATTTTGACATATAAATGACCTTTGTCCTTTGATGTCATTTTTCCAAAGTTCTGGAAATTTTGCTACAGTTTTGTTATCAATAAACAGATATAGAATGAGAATATTTTTTCTTAATATATATATACATTTTGAAGCTACAAAATTGTTTTTGTTCTAAACACTAACCATGTATATATAGGTTGCCTAAGGTTTTATCTAAGTTATCAAAGACAATCAATTGTTGAATAAAGAATGCTTTTAACAACATTCATAAAAAGAAATATCTATTGTTATACATCACTAATAAAATCTAAAGTTTAACATAATTTATAACTCGGCACATATTGTGTAACATGTGAGCACCTGATTGCCAATGGACATAATAATTATGTTAATTATTATATCAGTAAACAATCCAGTTCAAAAACTCAATAAGTCTAACTTGTATCATAGTATGGGGACCTTTCTGTTGAAAAAGTGTCAGAGTTAAATCATACATTATACATGCATAGTGCGTTAACTGGAGTGCAGGTATTAGTTACCCGCACTCCAGGGCATGCCCATTGATTGGCTCATTTTTGCTGGGGTTTACTTATTGTTACGGCAGGGAAAGGGAAAGCGCTAGAAATATCACATTCAGATGCTCGTCCATTGGTTACTTTTTTCTGGGGTTTCATATTGTGACAATAGGGAATGTGTTTTTATGGCTGACTATGATACAAAAAAGAAAGAATATCAAAACACTCTGCAATCTGATTAATACTCGGGAGCCATGCCCCCTCGTACAAATCAGATAGCTTCATGTTTCAATGCTCTTTCTATTACAAGTAATTTTATCAGCTGGTATGTTATTGTCCCTTTTGATTCTAGGGCATTTGCCCCCCCCCCCCCCTCCAGACAATGGCCCTAGAACATTTCTATTAACAAATATCAGCCACTGCAAAAAAAAGGTGGCAAACGTTCAGAGGGGCATCCGTCTAGGGGTCAAATATCCTAATACCATCCCAATTCTAGTTAAGTGTGATGTCAGGCTTTGAATTAAGAAAAACTGTTTCGGTGGACCAAGCAAAAAGATATTTAAGACCAGAAAATGTGTTAAAGTCAACATAAAAGCATTAAATCAATCAATCAATCAATAAATCAAACACAAAAAAAAATAATCAAACAAACAAACAAACAAAAATCAATCAATCAACAAACAAATGCACTTTACATTCAAATGTTTAATAATTCAGCTAACATAGAGAGCAACTAATTGCTTGTGAGGAGAAAATATGTAAATTATATACAAGTAAACATATGTAGATCAAAACTTGCAATAGTACACTTTGCTAATTTCTGTGAAATAAACTTTTAAAGTTTCAACTATAAATTTTCTGAATCAAAATACTTCACTTGTGAAGCTGTTTGCAACAAACATAAAACAGAAAAAGAAAATATAGACTATTATTGCAAACAGGAGATTTATGAAGTATTCATACTGGAAAAGTTGAATAAACACTAGAATTGACTGCCGTTCTTGAATAGAGTGATTAACATATGAATTCTAATAATTTCCCTGCATTAAAGTGGAAAATTGCTGAAGGTTTTCATTCTCAGTAAATTCTATATCGATCATCAACCAGTTTAAAGATTTTTCATTTTATCTTTCTTTCACTTAAAACTGCTCTTGGATAGATTTATATCCTATTACTATTCTAGATCAGTGCTTAAGCTACATCATATAAAAAAAAATCATAATTTTTGTATGGTTTATGTTGCACCAACACAGTATAGTGAAGACAACTTTTCAGCTATAGAGAAAGACCTCAGGTGCCTCTTTTTGCATGATTTCTGGCATGAACAGGCACCTGAGTAGAACCATCAATGTTCATAAGCTAGCTGGATAGCTTTTTCACAATCATGTATAATCCAATGACGCGGGCACTGAGCTCCAACCTACAGCAGTGAGATGCAAGTGGTTTGAAGTCAACACTTGACCAAGGACACCCCTAAAAACTTTTCAAACTGGAAAAGAACATTTTCAACTAAAATGTATTTAGTATTATGAGACCAATCTACATGTAAATTAGGCTGTGATAATGTGAAAATTTACTCAAGTCATTGTGTGTATTTAATCGCCAACGGTTGCCCTTATGGGCAAGTCGTCCAGAAGAGTTTTAGTCATTTTAGATTTTGGAGGATAGTGCAAAAGATGCCCCAATTCCAGATTACTTCTTCTGGTTCTTTTGCATTCTAAGTGTTTAAGCACTTATACACGGACCTCGATTTAAAGTCTTATCCGAAAGACTGATTAGTAATTTTAGTTGGCCAGCACAGAAATGGAACCCATAATGTGGATATTACAAGTCTCACGCTCTTAACGATTGAGCTTCCGGGGCTTACTTAATTGCTTACTCAAGTCAATAATCACTCTAGCCATATCACATCAGAAATTTTAGAATCAAAATTCATAGGCTGACCAGTTATAGTAGAAACATGTCAGAATTGTACCTAGTATTCAAGGACTCCACAAACAAATATAGAACTTTTTAATGTGGTAAACTTGTCAATCAATAGACATACAAAGGAAGATAAAAAACATCAATAATTAATTCAGGTCAAGATAATTAAACGATACAAGTTTTTACAAGTAATAGATTCATCAAAGTCTTCCATAATCAATGACTCCTCAATGTAGGCAGGAAATAAATGAAGGACTACCATAATGTGTTAATTAACTTAGCTGTATGATACATAAATTGTGTAAACTCTTCCCTAATCCTATCTAATCCTATCTCACAAAAGATACGAAATAGTTAAAAAAAATAATAAATAAATAAAAAACAAAAAATAATATGGTGGAGATAATATTTCAAAATTTCAAGCAATACAGTCATACCAAGATTGTACCCAATTTCAAAACAACATACACCAAAGTGACAGCAATATTTTTTAAAAACAAACAAAACAACACTGCATACTAATAAAATAATGACTCTAGATCTCTTGAACCTCAAGCCTCAGAGATCCATAACCAGCCAAGGTCATAATTTCTTAAATGTTGAAGTAAGTCAAACATAAAGATATCCAAGGCCAATAATCTTTTTAACAAGAGCTGTCGGTAGGACAGCAACGCTCGACTATTCTAAGTGCTTGATAGTAAAAAAATGCTTGATACAGTTACCTCCTCCTGTTTACAGGTTGGGGTAATGATGGTGAACAAGTGTGCAAAGTTTCAAAGCCATATGTCAATGGACTTTGAAAATATTTTAACTATTACAAAAACTTTAACGTAAATTCTAAGTCGAAAAAGGGGCATAATTCTGTCAAAATGCTTGATAGAGTTACCTCCTCCTGTCTACAGGTTGGGATCAGGATGGTGAACAAGTGTGCAAAGTTTCAAAGCCATATGTCAATGGACTTGGAAAATATTTGAACTATTACAAAAACTTTAACGTAAATTCTAAGTCAAAAAGGGGCATAATTCTGTCAAAATGCTTGATAGAGTTACCTCCTCCTGTGTACAGGTTGGGGTCATGATGTGAACAAGTGTGCAAAGTTTCAAAGCCATATGTCAATGGACTTTGAAATTATTTTAACTATTACAAAAACTTTAACGTAAATTCTAAGTCGAAAAAGGGGCATAATTCTGTCAAAATGCTTGATAGAGTTACCTCCTCCTGTCTACAGATTGGGGTCATGATGGTGAACAAGTGTGCAAAGTTTCAAAGCCATATGTCAATGGACTTTGAAAATATTTGAACTATTACAAAAACTTTAACATAAGTGGTTACGCCGACGCTGGCGCTCGGGTGACTGCAATAGCTCTACTTATTCTTATCGAATAGTCGAGCTAAAAAGTATTTATTGTTTTAATAAATTATCTAAATAGTTTTACATGTAGCTACAACAGTCAGATTACATAATTGACAGACTATTTCTAATTCACATTGCAAGTATTCAGTTTCTTTTGAATTTATTTTAGTTTGATTGTGAAGGATTAGCTATAAGCCTATAGGAACACTCTTGAATCTGTTCTTGAACCAAACAGTACTGTGAGGAATGAGTGTAAAAAATTTTGCTAAAGAAATCAACAGCTTGACCATGATGGGGTTTAAACTCACCTGGCTAGCAATTCTTAGATTAACGCACTTGGCTTGCAAATCTTATATTACCAGTCCAACATGTTAACCAATTAGCCATACGTCTTTGATATTAAGTCAAGAATTTTCATTAACTCTTGCTTATACCTTTATTTGAAATATTATGGTATCAAAACTTTCTGAGAATCAGTAGCATAACAGCAATGCCTTATTGGAGTTGATGACCTGATGGAGATATGTTTTTTGTAATTCATTCTTTCATGTTTCTATGATTTATGCTGAATTTGTGCAACACGAAATTTCTCTAAAATGACAAGCATGCTACCATGTGAGTAAATGAAAGAATCTAAGAAATCAATACATTTAAATTGCTCGTAATTTTCTGGTTTTGTTTGGCTTAAATATGAGGATTTTAATTATTTAATATGTCAAAAAGAGAAAGAGTAAAATAAAATTTGTTGGATGTTAATTAAACATATACTTTAATTTTCATATGAAAAATTAATAATTTTCATATGAAAAATAAATAAATAACAAGACTTAATTTTACACTCTGAGTATTGATTGGTTCCAGGAACAGACTGAGGATTTTTATCACACAAAACAATTTTTCAACTTTAGTGTAAATGGATACAAAATCATAATTTATACATGTATACTGTTTGAAAAACGAACCAAGTCTGGATTTTAAAGTTTTTGTATTTCAGCATTAATGAAATGGATAACAAAATTATAATATACGACGGAAAACAAATTTGTCAGGATTTTAAAGTTTTATATTTTCCCTTTTGAGGGATTACCACAGATCTATCTTATTAATAAGTGCTTTGACAAAATTAATGCAGGATAGGTGCCCTCCTTCCTTGTGAAAATTTCTGTTAAATGAAATGTTCAAGATTTACATCAACATGTTTGGTGGCAATAAAGGTACCGTTACCGACTGCCAGTACTTTAAGTACAAACAAGTCCACTTTCCTTGGTTATTCTACAGTATTTTTTTCACTGAACTACACTGTTAAATCACTGAGGAAATTGTCCTAGATAAAGTTTGATGTATTAATTCAGCAACAGAATTAATAATATCATCTTTCTTTTAACACAGTTGATGTAAACATGGCAGACCCACGACTGCGACAGCATCAGCAGTTTGATCTGATACGCTGTAAACTATGTAACAAGATTTACGAGTTACCACGGATACTGGACTGTCTCCACAGTTTCTGTACTGATTGCCTGCAGTCCTATATCACCGAGCCTTCCCAAGATCATGTGACTTGTCCTGTATGCCAGGAACCAACTCAAATCTCAGGCGATGGGGTCAACAGTCTCATGTTAAATACCCTCCTTGTCAGGTAAATAAGATATTTATTTTTATGATTTGATCATCCAGGCCTCGGACATTTCCCTGTTGAGGGGTTTGTAGTCTTTCTAACATTCAATTCCAAGGAAAACCAAATGAATGTCAACCTACCAATCCACAATAAAATGCTGGGTTCCTTTTCAAGTAATTACCTCTTTAGTGAGAGACTGACACCTTAATATACAATATCACAGTCCAATAGTTGAAAGCATTGAATTAAAGATAACTATCTGTAATTAGTAAAGGGCACATTAAACACTTTAAAATGGCAACTATTTTTTTTCAGGTTTCTAAAATGGTAATTTAAACATTTCAACATTCCCTAACATTTCAATTTTATTCATCATGTTTAAAAGTTCTTGTAACTAATATTCAAGAATTATAATAAATCCATAAAGTCATGTTCTTGACAAATATCAATCAAGTATGCCAAACTCAATTCCCCCTTTATTCATCAGGTTTATAAATCAAGCACAGAAAGACAAAACAACAGTAGTAGCAGGTCGAGAGGTGTTACAAATGACACAAGAGGCCCTGACAGAATCAGAACTAAAATGTCCCGAAGTAGTGGCAGGTATACAGGATATAGCTACCACTGCTGGACATGTTCTTGCTGATAATCTACAGGAAAACTGTACGGTAAGCACGTCAAAAGTGCCCCAAATTTTTTCCAAAATTTAAAAACAAGGGGAGTTTCAAAATCCCCTTACATAAAAAACCAGTTTCTATTTACATGTGTTATATTATTTTGGAATTTTCCCTTTTATTTAAAAAATCCCAAAAGAAAACCTATGTTTCTGAAATTTCTTAAAAGCTAAAAAAATAAAAATAAAGAAATTTTGAAAAAAAATTTTTCCCCTTTTCAAAACTAAAAATTTAATTTTCCCGAAAAATTTTATACTTTTTAAAAATACCTTTTTGGTTCTCTATGAAAAATTTATAAACTTTATTTTTGTTTTAAAAAAAATAAAAAAAAAGGGGCCCAATAAAATTACCGATAATAAACATGTATTTTTTTTCCCCCCCAACTAGGTTTTTTAAAATTTACAAAAACTTATTTCCCAAATTTCCCTTTTCATCTTTAAAGGGCTAACAGTAAAAACTCTTTTAAAAAAAATATAAAGCTCATTAAAAAAAAATTAAAGATCATCCTTTTTTTTTTTTGGGCCCTAGAATCCCTTTAAATGAAATTTAAATAAAGAAGCATTTTTTGAAAAAATTATTATAAAAAATATCTTAAAAATAAACTATCTTTTTTAACAAAAAAAAGGGCCAATAAACCAAGAGAGTTCCGGATCAAGCAATTTTTGCAGCAAAAAATTGACCCTTTTACAGGTAAAGGGCCATGGCCATTTTTCACAGCAAAAAAAAGAAAAAAAAATAAATCAAGGTCTTTTAAAGTTTGGCAGAAACAGAAAAAGCAGAAACAAGAAATCAGTAAAACCCAAAAGGTAAAAAAAATTTGGTTTTTTAAAAAAATATTGGTAAGGGGAAATTTTTCTTTGACCTTTTACTTGCTAAAAATTTTCAAATGTAAATTTGCTCATTTTTCCTTTTTTGGGAAACTGGTTATTATAAATTTTTTTTTTTTTTGGGGAAATTTTTCCAAAGATGAAAATTTATTGGGGAAAGGCCCCAAAATAGTGGGCGGGTCAACATGTCACCAGAAAATTGGCCCGGGTTGGCTTTGGTTTCAATACTGGTTAAAAGGGCTAGTCATTTCATTCCCAGGCAAGGAAAGGGGAAATTTTAAAAACAAGGAAAAACCAAAACAGGGTACATGACAATGAATAAAAACAGTTAAAATTTAAAAAGAACATTAAAACAAAAGACTAGGGTTGAAAAAAACCCTTCCTTTTTTTATACTTTTTCAATCAAAGTCTAAAATTTAATTTTTAAAAAAAAAGGGAAAAAAGGTGAAAAAATTTAAATAAAATTCAGAGAAGAAAACCCAAAAAGTCAGAATATTCATCCCACCCCCAAAAAAAAAGAACATCAAAAAAATCTGGAACTTACTCCCCGGGTTCATTTACATTTTTTTAATTTTATTTAATGGGCCCCCAAGAAATAACTGTTCAAATTTAAAAATTTCTACTTTCCTTTTACGACTTATAACCCTTAACCCCTACCATAATAAAATAACATTTTACAATAAATTAAAAATTTTTTTATGGGGTAAATGGAATTTTAAAAGAATTTGGGCTGTTTCCGGTGAGGGAAAAGACGTCTGCCTCAAAAACTTGAAGTTTAAAGATAACCATACTGACCAAAAAAGATGAACCCTTTCAATGTAAAAAAATAAGTTACAAAAAAACCTTAGAACCCCAGTCCCCGGTGTTGTGACTTCCTAAGACTGGTTTCTAAAATTTGGGTTTAATAGGGGAAGAACTGGAAAAATCATTTGCTTTAGGAAAACTGAAAAAGAGAAGGAGAGATTTTTTTAACTGAAAACAGCCCTCTTTTACGGAAAAAAACTTTTAGCTTTTAAAAAACACCTTTTCAAATGGAAATATAGGGAAATAATTTTGGAGATGATTTTTGGCATTTTTGGTCTGAAAATCAGGGAAGAAAAAAACTGTAGGGGGAATCCACAGATTTTTTTGTGTTACATGTTTTACCCTTTGGATCACGGGAAAAAAACCCCTTTCCCCAAAAAAAAGCCAATAATACCTAAAAAACGGCCCCAAAAAATTTGATCTAAATTTACAGAAAAGGAAATGAAAGAGTTTCATTATCTTTGCAGTTTTCATTTAAAGACACCGGAAATAAATGTCCCCGATTTTAAAAACCCGGAAAGCATTTCCCCAAACCCCAAAGGTAAAAGGGGTCTTTCAACGCCACCCCAATTTGAAACAATTTTTGATGAATCCAGCCCATATGATTATGTACGTAGTGAAAATGAAGATTTCCAAAAAAAGTTTGCTTATCACAAGACCCAAATTTTACACCCAAGATTTAAAATACTAAAAATTGAACAGGGAAAACCAAAAAGCGATACAGGGTCAAAAAAGGGGTTTAAAAAAGGCCACGTTTTTCCTTTCCCAACAGCAATTTGCATTCCTTAAATCCAGTTTTTAAAAAAGGCAAGCCCCAAAGGGGGTTTTACAGGAAAAACAATGTAAAGGAAAATTTTTTTGGGCCCGCCTTAACTTTTTAATTAAACCCCCCCTTTTGCGAACGCGGACTGAGGGCCCCCATTTCCCGTTTTCTGGAAGGGGGGCCCAAATCAAAAAAAAGGGGAAGGGGGAAAATGTGACTAGTGAAAATAAAAATTCAGGAAATAAATTTTGAACCAAAGGCTCGAGGGTTTTTTAGAGGAAATTTTTAAAGAAAAAAAGGTTCAAGGAATTTTTCCCAAGATAAAATAGTTTAAATTCCCAATGGGTTTTTTGTTTACAAAAAAGGGGGGTTTTTAAACTTTTGTGGGCATTTTTTTGGGAAAATTAAAATAAATGAAAAAACAAAAGCATGAATTTTTACATGACACCATTTTTTTTCAATTTTTCAATTAATAGAAAAGGGAAAAAATTTTTAAAGGTTTTTATTGCAAAAATATGTTTAAAATATGATAAATTTTGCTTTGAAGGATTAATCCCAAATTTAAAATTTCATTCATAAAATCCAAAAAATTTAAAACAATTTTTCTTTAAAAGTTTGTTTTAAAACTTTACTTTTACTTCCCTTTAAAATTTTTCCTTCCATTTTCCAATTGAAGTTTAAAGTTTTCTATATAAGTTTTTACAAACTGATAAAAAAACCCAATTTAAAACCCTTGGTCACCTGCTTTATATTTCTGCCCGGGGTTTATTTTTTACCCCCAAACTTAAAGAAACCTTTTGGGTTTAAAATTCAAAAATATTTTCTCGAAAATTTTTAAAAAAAGGGAAACCCCACGAGGTTTTTTTTTAAAAATCTTTGACAGGAAAAAATTTTTATTTACAAAGTTTTTGGGGAAAACATTTGGGGTTAAAGTTAAAAAAAACCCAATTTTCTAACCCATTTTTTTAAAACCAAAATTTTTAAAACCCAATGGGAATAATCTTTTTCTTTGTGCAAAATGACCTAAATCACTCAAATCTGACTAAAAATCGCTACAAAATTAGTATTAAATTTGATTCTAAGAATATTTCTTTTTTTCCCCTTGTCTTTTTTTAAATATTAAATTTTCTTCACTTGCCCCCAATGTAAAAATTTTTAAATTTTGAATTGAATATCCTTTTTCCCCTCAGTTGAGTCCTTTAAGGTGTTTTTCCCCCAAAATGCGGGAAAAATGCCGGGCATATAACCTATTCACTATCTTTCAAGTTTTGTTTTTGAAGTATAGGCTTGTTTAGTTTAAAAAAAATGTTTTTTAATTTGTTAAAAATTTTAAAATTTATGTACAATTTTTTTAATTCTTAAATTGTTTCTCTATCCCTAAAAAATCCCAATTAAATTTTACCCCTTTATTCCCCTGACAGGGTTTTTTTTTGTTTATTTTATGCCGGTTTGGGTCATTTTCCCCAAATTGAAAAAGTATATTTTTTTCCCCCAATCCACAAAAAAAAATTCCCAAATTGAAATTTACAAAAAAAAAATTTTAAAAATTAAAAAAAATTCAAAAATTTTTGCAAATAAGGGTTTTCTTCACTTTTAATTTTGGGGCTTAAAAATCTTAAAGATGCATCAAAAAGCCCAAGTAAACAAAATTTTTCATATTTTTTTCATTTGAAAATTTTTCAGCCCCGGGCTTTTTTCCCAAATTTTTTAACAAAAAAACCAAACTGAAATTCCCAATTTCCAAGAATTTTTGGGTGGGTTTTCCCCCGAAATTCGGGAAAAAATCCCTCCCTTTTTAAATTTAAAATTAAAAAAGGGCAAAATGGATCACCCAAAAAAGGCACCCTTCCCGGGGGTAACGGGCCTTTAGGCCCTATTTTTCACAAAGAAAAGGCATATTTTTCTTTAAAAAGGGTTATAGTCACAAATGCCCATACCTCTTTTTGAATGACCTAAAAACTCAATAAGGTCAATTTATGTCCCAATCAAAATTTTCCCAAACTTTCCCCAAGGGTTTTTGGGTTTGAGACAAGGAAAACAAAAATACCAAAGGACCCCCCCATCACAAAAGCTCCCAATTTTAAAATTTTTAGGGGGATGTATAAAAAGGGATTTTGTACAACTTAATGAGGGTGGGGAACACATTTTAATTTTAACCCCAATCTTTTTTTGGGTTCATTTGGGAATAAAATCAAATCTTTAAATTAAACTATATTTTGTGCAGAAGACATTTTCCCCCCCAGTTTCATTTCGGGGAAACCCCCCCAAAATGGGAAAGACAAATGCTACATTTTTATATGCCTCTAAATTGGTGGCATAAAAATTTCATCCTATAATAAAAAAAAAAAAATTTATTAAACTAAAAAAAGAAAATCTTTTCCTAAAAAAAAAATTTGAACAAGTACAAAAATTTTTTCCAACAACAAAATTGCCAAAAAAGTTAAATAAAATTTAAAGTCTAACCCAAAAAATTAAACCTTTTTTCTTCCCATGTATTTTCTGTTTTTAAAAATTTTTTCAAAAAAAAAATTTGGTACATTTTGGTCTGCCGGCTGTTTCTTAACTTTTTTCTCTTTTTTCTTTTTTTTCTTTCCTCCTTTTTCTTCATCCCCATCAAACATGTTTTCTCTCTCCAGCCATTTCCCCTTCGCTCCATAATTTGTCCAAGGGAATTTTCCGGGGAAGAGGGAAGAAAAAAATAAAGTAAAAAAATTTAAAAAAATTTTGGTGGTTATTTTTGAAAAAAAACCCAAAAACAAGAACATGGCATGCTTGTGTTTAAAAACCCTCGTCTCCTTAAAATAAACCAAACAATTTGACCAAAATTCCTATTAAAAAAGGGGACATAACTCAAATCCAAAAATTTCCCCAAAATATTAAAGGCTTCCCAGAAACTATGCCCCCTTTTGGTTCTTAAAAGATAAAGTATTTCCAGTTTTCCATATATAATTCCTTTTAAAATTTTGTAAGAGCTATTGGCCTTTACATTATAAAGTTTTTGGAATAATGAGGGAACACTAAAACCCAACAAAACTCTTGAAGCCGATCATTAATAGCTTGACTCTCTTCCGAAGCAGACGAGGCTAAAAAAAAAATAGGTTGAAGTTTGATGAAGCAGTTTGTTTTATTACTAGAATTAGTTTGAATATGAATATTCCAGTAGCCTCAGTTCCGAAAATGGCAATTCATTCACATCAATATTGATGGAGTCAGTTGATTGAGGGGATTTTGAAATTTTGGTTGGTTGGGTTTTTTAATTTTACTTTTTCCAAAAAATTTTGTAAAATCATTGCCACTTTCCATTTTTAAACTGGGGGTTAATTTTCCTTATGTGAAATTTTTTTCCCCGGGTTTTTTGAAACGGGGCGCTTGAAAAACCCAACCAAATGTTCCCTTTAAGCTTTGTTTTTAAAATTACTTAACCGGTTACATAAAATGGTCAAATTTTCACCGGTTTTTGGGAAAACCTAAAAAAAGACAGGAGGCAAAAATTGGTATAATTTTAAATTAAAAACCTTTAAAACCATTTCTCAAAAAAAACGGTTTTAAAAATTCCCCAAGTTTCTATATTCAAATTCTAAAAAATTTTTTTCACTTTAAATTCATAAAAATCCCTAAATTGGGTCTTTAAAATGAGTAAGCTTAACACTTGAAAAAAAAAGGTTGAAAAATTTGAAAAAAAATTAGATTTTTTGGGTTTGTGCACAAAAAGAAAATTTGACTTTGGGCAAGGGGCAAAAAAATTTAAAAATTTAAAACAAAACCCAAGGGATTAATTTATGAACTTGCTTAGGACACAAAATTAACTAAAAATTAATGGGTTGGAACCCACCAAAAAATTAAAAAAAAGAAAATCTCAAAAAAAAGTGTGACATCCCCCCGAAAATTCAAATTTTGGTTTTTTAAAAAAGTTTTTTAATTTTTTTCCAAACTAGCAAATAGTTGCACTAAAGACAGTTATATGCCCTTTGGGATGCCCAATTTACACAGGGGGTGTGTCAATATTTTTTAAAAGTCAAACTGTAACTCCCAATGTATATCAAAAATTTTTGGGCACAAACCCAAAGGGGAAAATTTTACAATTTGATATACCTTAAAGGAAGAAGTTGTAGGGGAACGGGGTTGAATACGACCTTCCCCGGGCCCTTTAACCAAGCCCTTGCCAGGAACCATAACCCATCTTGGTCAATAATTTATTTCCCTATCCCCTGAAATAATAGTATAAACAATACATGAAATTTTAAACCATCGCTAAAATTCCCAAAATCATCCCTTTTGTGGTCAAAGGGTATAAACTAACAGTTATTTGGGTATTTTTGTTGAAATGGCATTTTACCTGAAAGGGGAAAGGGAGCTGGGCCCTTTGGGTTCATACCAGGCAGACGGGGTCCCCCAAGCAGAACCACTGACCTTCCCGCAACTTGCGGATAGAAAAACTTTACATGAAAAAACTAATAAAGTTCTTAAAAAAGATTTCACCCCCCATGGTGAAAGGAAAGTAAATTAGAAGTAAAACGAAAATTAAACCCCAATGTCCCCACAGTTTTGTTTCATTCTAAACCTTATACTGGCCATGTTGTCACTGGTATTTAGAGAGATCTCTGTTATTTTTTCTATCACCTTTTAAAATAAATGACATTTTTTAACAAAAAGATAGGAAAGCAACAGTTTTATACCAGAAATGATTTGAAAATAGACACACATTCAATAATTCTAATTGAATACATTTCATTATACTTCAAAATCCATTTTTTTAACTTTGAGTAAATGAAAAAAAAAAAGATATTTTTTTTTTTAAATTGTCTACCTTTGTATGAGCTTCCCACTGACCTAGATCACCAAGACCATGTGACTTTGGTTTCCATAGAAACACAGGAAGTTCATCATCTGAATCTGAATCTTGTCTGTTGATTGGACCATCATCAGAATCACTGGATTCTTCTACATTGTCACCTAAAATAAACAATTATCCTTGACTTTCAATCTTACAATAAAATATGTGAAAGAAATAAGATTACAAACAAAATTATTTGAAGCTCAAGCAATTTAAAAGGGAATAAATAAATAAAACTCTACACAAATATGCTTTTTTTTATATTTGTAAACAAGACACTTAGTTCCAAAACTATAATAGAAATATTTCATAAGCAAGAGGTCGCATGTCATTGATTTCGTTGGCATTGACATCCACAATATCAGTGACTATTTGGGTTAAATGCTGACTTTCCATTTATACAGGTAGATTAAAATCCATGGTGACGATACATTGGTTTATTTGGCACTAAGATTATGCAGCTTTGGTAAACAGTACTGTAAAATTAGAAATTTTCACAAGGGATTAAATTTTCTGCTAATTTCACAAATAAAAGATTCTCAGTAAAATAAATATTTGCTAAATAAGTATCAACAATATAATTGTCACAGAACTGAGGGTAGGGATTTGCAAATATTTAACTTTGCCAAATAGTCCAAAATGTTGATTTGGCAAATTTTTGGCCTCATGAAATCATCTGATTTCACAGTAGCTAGATAGCCTGTCATTATGAAATTTTTTTTCCTTCAACCATTAACCTTCTGGAACCGAAAGTTATTAACTTTTGCCAACAGTACAGAGCCAGGCTCTGTACTGTTGGTACATGTAGCTTAATTTTTGTATTTTGATGTTGAAATTCAAACGGATTGTTCCCAATTTAATGCAAGACAAATTAAACAAAAATTCAGCAGGTTAACAGTTAAAAAAATCACACTTTGCAATGTGGTACAAGTTGTTTGTAATATACAGAGCAGGGACTGCGTTTAGGGCAAAGTCGGGAGAAAACTTCGCCAAAAATATTTTCACATTGCCCTATTTGAAGGGAAAAGTCACTTCTCCATAATTTTTCAGTTCAAGGTAGACCCTGCACAGAGTAAAAAATAAAGTAAGTGGTTTGGCACTAATAAACATGACTGAAATAATTACAATGTTTCATGAAAAAGTACACACCTAAGGGAAGAATATCCTCGAAGCACAGATATAGAGGTGTATCATTATAATCATCAAATGTTACCGAAGCGCCCTCATCATGTAGATCAACTATAGTGGCTTTATACCATAGATCATCATCCTCGTACCTGGCCAGGCAACGGGACTCTAATTTCAATATACTGAAATGGTAGAAAAAAATTGAATTGAAAATGAGATACATTGTTTAAGTTAGTCTCATTATATTTCAGATTTACTGAGTGATGAAAGCCTTTTAGCTATCATAATTCATACCTATGTGTGGAATGAAAATAGTATTACCGAAAGATGAAAAGACATATATCCAGACTAATTTTGCCTTATTTCATACTGATTTTCCTTCTTTGAAACTTATTTTTCCACATTTCACAGATTTTTTCTCACCACATTTCACACAGATTTTTTCACATTTCACACTGATTTACCTTCTTTCCACATTTCACACTGATTTACCTTCTTTCCACATTTCACACTGATTTACCTCCTTTCACACTAATTCGCCCATATTTCACTTTTTTTCCCTATTCCACACTGATTTTTTTACATTCCACACTACGTATTGCACAAGTTGTAAAGCTAAATACACTACTGACATTATATTCATAACCCTGCCAAAACAACATTATAACCTCAAAGACACAAAGACTTTCCTAATGCATAGTCTATTGATAAGGAAAAAACAATTATTTTCATTTTGTTCTATTCTTTTTATCTATGTCTGATATTCTCTACAAGTTTTACCTTTCTTTAAACATCTATACTATGATTTTTCCTTTTAATTGTTCAACTGATTTTACTTTTGCCCTGATATTCTCTATATATGTTTAACCGACCTATAAAAATCTGGATTCTGATATATCTAGTTAATAACCAACCTACCTATGATCTGGATCCTGATATTCCTAGTAAATGTCCAACCTACCAATGATCTGGATCCTGATATTCCTAGTAAATGTCCAACCTACCAATGATCTGGATCCTGATATTCCTAGTAAATGTCCAACCTACCAATGATCTGGATCTTGATATAACTAGTACATATCCAACCTTCCTATGATCTGGATCCTGATATTCCTAGTAAATGTCCAACCTCCCTATGATCTGGATCCTGATATTCCTAGTAAATGTCCAACCTACCAATGATCTGGATCTTGATATAACTAGTACATATCCAACCTACCTATGATCTGGATCCTGATATTCCTAGTAAATGTCCAACCTCCCTATGATCTGGATCCTGATATTCCTAGTAAATGTCCAACCTCCCTATGATCTGGATCCTGATATTCCTAGTAAATATCCAACCTCCCTATGATCTGGATCCTGATATTCCTATCCTTGAGTCATCGGTTTCGACGCCCTTAAGCAGTGTTATAGCTGAATTATTTTTTATTCAGATTAAATGTTAAATAAAATATCATTTAAAGAAACAAAAGTATGTTATCTCTTCAAGCAAACCTAATTTACTATTGCCAGTGGTTCAACTGAGTTGATTTTCGTAGTTAGTCAGCAGACCATGGAGGCATCCATCTTCGTTTACGGTCATATGAAATGACGCCTTTTGATTGGCTTGCTATTTCAAGTCTTTTTCACAGTATTGTAACATGTACAGCAATTGATAATTTTGGACGAGCAAAAATATAAGTTAACAACACCATGAACAGATAAAATTATTTTTATTTCATTATATTTTTTTTTTATTTCATTATTTTTTTTATTTCATAATATTATTTTATCTTTTATTCTTTATAGATTTTATTGAACATTTATACAATGAGGGCACAAAAAGTTATCACCCCTCCTGACAACTCTGACTTTTGTACAATACATCAGATGAACCCAATGTTCACAGTTACTACATTGAACCCATTGTACAAATATCAGGGAGGAGCTATTGCGTACTTCTTTTGGTGTAAACAGATTGCAAACACAGCATAATTCAGTATCTGCAGTGTCAGAATCATCAGAATCAACATCTTCAGATCTGCTAGCTGGAAGGTTTCTTGGCTTGGATGTACCAGAAGTGCTTGGTTTTGGTGCTGGCTTACAGGTCTTGTGACTTTCATGCTGTGTTATAGCATCCACCATGTGGTCTTTTGTAATTGGCTTGCCACTAACTACATAACTTAGATATTTACGCTTCTTCGTGGGTGGCTTCTTGGTTTTAACTGTTGCCTCTTTGGCAGTGAAGAATTCAATTGGACATTCAGTAGCTGTTTTTGGTGTTTCAGCATCAATAGGTATATTTTCAGTTTCCTGTTGAAGAGGCTCAGAAGGCTTGAAATTTGTTGGATCCACCACATCAGGATTGAATGGATAGATATCCGTTTTTCGGAATGAAGAGCGAAGATTTTCTGGAGACATGGCTTTGGTATATGCTGAGCAGCCACGTTCACATATAATGTACCTAGTAATACATTTTCCACAGTTCTAACGAATGAACTTATGACATACATTATTGTAGATTTAATCAAATTTTCTGTTTTAAACCCCATTTAATTGGGAAAAATTTTATTTAGGTAAGACTTGTAACCATAAAATTTATGATCAACCCCCTGGATTGTTTTTTGGGAAAACGTGCAGGTGGGGTAAAAATTCACCCAAGTGGTTTTCAAATGAAAATTTTGAAAAATTACTGCGTTACTCCAGCCAATTTCACTTAAAATCTCCAAAAAAACAAAAAAGGAAAAGCCCCCAAAAACCCTTAAAGTAAAGAACCCATTCTTCACCTGGGAACAAAAAAAAGGGGTTTTGGGAAATTCCCTTTCCCCCGGGCTTCCCACACCCTTAAAACATTAAAACCCACTCCCTTACAAAAGGGTTACGGGCCTGAGGCTGGAAATTTAAAATACCCTGAAAACAATGAGGGGCTTGTCTGATGTGTTTGGGGGCCCTTTGCTTCTTGGGTATAATCTCTCTGGTTCTCTAAAATTAAAAGGTTAAAATTTTTTGGGTGGAAATAGATCCAAGCTCTTTTTTTAAATAAAAAAGAGCCCACAACGGGACTGTTGTTTTTTTAAAAGCTCTCTGCATTTCGAGACCCCCGGGGTTTCGGGAACTTAGCTCCGGCCAAATTACTTAAAAACCTTTTTGGATGTACCATTTAAAAAAAACCCCTAAAGGGGTTTTTCCAATTTACTCCTTCTTGAACCCAAACAAACGGGCCTTTCCCCTCAAAAAAGCCAAAAATTATCAACAAACCTCAGCCCTGCCCCGTAACCAAAAAACCAAAAATGGGCCTTTAAAATTTTTAAATTTTTAAAAAAAGGTGAGCTTCTTCCTCTTAAAGGGAGAAAAATTGGGGGTGGTCCAGCCCTGGTAGTTCCGGTTTAAACTTTTCCGTTTTAAACTTTGCCCTAAAGGAAAAATGCCAAAAATTTAAAATACCCCCCTTTTGGGCAGTGGGTTTTTTGTTGCCCCATTGGCCTCCCCTTTTTAAAATTTAATCATTTATTTTTTGTTTTTTGGGGCGAAATAAACTGGTTTTTTGTCTTGGACCTGGAAATAAAAATAAAAAAATACAAAATTTTTCAAATTTTAACCCCTATTTTACTGCTAAATTTTTAAATCTAAAAAATTTTATTAACTCCATTTAATTATTAAAAATTAAAATTAAAAACCAAATTTAGCGTTTTAATTTAAAGGAAATTATAAAAGTTAACATTTTTCCCTAAAACGGGGTAAAATTTAGAAGTACTTTTGGGTAAAATTTTTGGGGTAAAAACGAAGTCATGTGACTTTTTAAAAAATAAAATTTTAAGAAATCAAACGAACATTTAAGGTAAAAATTTTTCCCCCGGTTTTTTAATTGCAAAATTTTCCCCATGTAAAAACAATTCAATTTTTTTAATGCCTTTTAGGGGCCATAATTTTAAAAAATAACCTTAGTTTTAAATAAATAGGGGAATTTTTTTCCCAAAGGGTTTTCTTTTGATATTTTCCACTTTGTTTAAATTTAAAAGCGTTTTAAAAAGGGGCCCGTACCTTATGCCCGGCCTTTTGAAAAATTGGGGAAAAGATCATTCCCCCGATGTCGGTTCCTACAACAAATTTAAAGGTCCCAAAACAAAGATGGCGTCGAAACAGATGAGCGTAAAAACAGATGATCGGACGATAGTAAATGTCCAACCTACCTATGATCTGAATCCTGATATTCCTAGTAAATATCCAACCTACCTATGATCTGGATCCTGATATATCTAGTAAATATCCAACCTACCTATGATCTGGATCCTGATATTCCTAGTAAATATCCAACCTACCTATGATCTGGATCCTGATATTCTTGAAGGTCTTCTAAAGCTACTTCATGTCCATGACTATATCTGAAATATATCGGTAATGAACCATGGATTCTGGTTAAGTTATGAATATAGGTTTAAAGGTTATGCTTAAAGATATGAATAAGTTTTTGCTCACACATTATAATGACGTTTTATTTTTTCAGTCACTTTACCATATTTTGGGTCATATCTCAGCAGTCAATCAATCTCATTGGCTTTAATCGATAACAAACCAGTAATTACCAATTTCTTCCAAAGTTTGTTTGTTTGTTTGTTTAATTTTACGCCTTTTTCCAACAGTATTTCAGTCATATAGGCGGGTAGTTTCCTAACCATCGTTCCTGGAGAGTTACACCAGTACTAGACTACCTTCCTCCGCGCTAAACTACCAAAGCATCTCCCGGGGATCGAACCCACGCCAGAGAGGTACCTGAATTAGAAGTCATCGACTCTAACCCCTCGACCACGGAGTGATTACCGGTATCTGCTAATCATAAAAGATTTTTGAATTAGTAGTTAACCCATTACTTCATGAGCTTTTTGTGAAAAATGGCTGTTTTCATTGAAAAGTCTCCCGTTACAAGTTCAAATTGCTATAATACTATAAAAACTGCTTCAACACTAATCAAACTTGGCACAAATGTTGACTGGACCATTGCCCTTGCAACAACATGCTCAGGCTTAAATTTTCTGTTACCATGGCAACGAGGGGACATCTCAAAATTGCCAAAAATCACTATTTTTGCGTTGATTTTTTCCATCATAATTGATTTCAAAGTGCTGCAACTTCTCAATGGATTGAGATAGAGTCAAATGCTTTTCAGCGTTGGTTACACATTACCTTATGATCAATCTGAGGTCATTTTATAGCCTCTCACAAGTCCAAAATTTCTTGGCGATGAGGGGGACTCCGCCCCCCTTCAAACCCCCCAAACAGAAGGGGGCACATCCCCCTTCTTTTGGCAACCCCCTGATGTATCTTTTGGTTGGGGGGCCGCGCCGAAAAACTGGTCACTTTTTTTAACAACATTTCTCAAACAAAAACAGGTGTTGGGGGTCTAAATAAGGCATTTTTTTACCATTTGAGACAACAAAAAGGGGGGGGGTGAAAAAGGCGTTAAAAGGCGTGTATATGAAGTAATGGGTTAAGGACAAATGACCATTAGACTCAATCAAAGAATCAACTGTCAGGAATATATTTCACCTCCACTAAGGATCCAACCAGTGACCCCTTGTTAACAAATACTTTCAAACAATGTTGTCTTATATGAGTTTATAAATAAGGATGAGAAACTATAAAAGTTAATTTTGTTCTTGTCCCTTTCAATTATATGTTGACATATAAAATGTTAATGTGTTCTAACTAATAAGTAAAAGTATAAAATTCCATATTAAATATTATACACATATTTTTTCCTTTGTCTTTTAAATGTCCAATTAGAATTTGAAAAATATCATTATCTCCCTTTACCTGCATTCCCCTTCACTAAATCTACAACTTCCTCCGAGGAAATATTTACATGGTAACATAGCACTGTGTGTTGGATTACAGAACATCACTTTAACCTGCAACAATTAAAACCAGTCAGCAAATGGTTAATTTTGACAAGAAATAAGCATGAAATTTGTATAGGGAACAGTGCAATGCACGGATATTCTAGTTGATTTTGGTCTGCACAGCACCAACAAGGGTGTTTTCTTTCTCAACCAATATTGTTCAAGATATAAAAAGACTGTTTAAATTAACTTTAGATATAAGTTTAATTTTTTTTTAACATGTGTAAATGACACAGTTGTAATACTTTACTACAGCATATGCCTTTAATAGCAATACTATCAATTATAGGGGTGTCATGTTTAAACCAGTATGGTCAGTTTTTAGCTAAAAACCGGTTAGAAAATTCCGGTAACCGAGGTTAGTATTTGACTAAGGGGTGGAATTTTTTTTTAAATTGATTCTATATATTACCTTAGTTTTTTTATGACAAGATACGTCAATTGTTTGTACTTAAGTTGTACTCAACAATGTATTTTTTCCGATCAGATCGAATATGGTACGACCCTAGACGAAAATAGTTACTCCCTATTCGGATATGTATTGTAATCATTTTGAGTACAACAAAATATGAACAAAATTGCATATCTTGTCAAAAAGAAACAAAGCTAATGTTGATAATCTAAAGATTTTATTAGTTTGGTCAGTTAAACCTTGAATACGGTTATTACATCGGCATTTAAGCAACCAGAATATTTTTTCAAACGGTGGCACCCCAAATCAATTATCAAGACTCAACAGCAGTATTTTAGTTATGATACCATAACCTAGGATTTTCCCCTGTGTTCAAAGCAACTCTTTTTACAATATTGTACTTACCTTTGGTATCTCCAATTCTGAATCATTCACAACTCCAGCAATGAGCGCATTTCCAAATATTTTGGCTCCCCAGTCATGTGTGTATGGTGCCCGGCACTTTGTGCCTATAATATCATTATACATATCTGATAATGCCTGTACTGGGCAAGTGTTTGTATCACTGTTGTCTGGTATAACACCCTTATCTAAATTGTCTGACCCTGAAGGGTCAATGGATTTATCTCCCTTGGAAATATTAACTGAAGAGTTTGATCCCTTGTCACTTAATTTAGAACTGTCTTTATTGTTGTCACAACTGTCATTTCCCAACATTGCCTGTAAAAATGGTGATGTTCATATACAAATTCAATAGTAAAATTTCAAATTAATTTTAACAAGAAATTTGAAAAATAGACCTGCTTTGCTTGAAAACTTGAGCTGCCAATAATTATTTAAACTTTAGGGACTTAACTGAGGTTTTTTTCTGACATGACAGAAGTTGTGATATTTTTTTCCAGATTTGTGTCAATATAGGTATGTACCAATAACTTGTGTGCAATATTTTATCATTCACTCACTGTTTCAGATTAATTATTCATATTGAAAAGAGTTTATACACTTTTATTTCAAATTAGACCAAGTATCACAAAAAAGTTGATTTTTTAATTAATTCTCAGTTATCTTTGTTATCTTTTTGCATATTTTTTTTCCATTTTACATGTACGTGCCACGGTTGGCCTACATAAAGAGTTCAAAATTCTATTTTTATAAGCTTTAGGACATCAGTTGAGCTCCTTTAAGAAGTTTGACTTTAAGAAATAGCTAAATTTGTGCAGCCAACAGAACAAAGTCTGATCAGTGTGCATGGTCAGAATGTCATGCAGACTGCTGGCCTCATTTAACACTTTTGCTATTTCTCTGATAATTACCTAAAATTACTTGCCTGTCATTCACTTTAAAACCTGTTTAAATGATTTCAGTTGAAAACATGTTTTGTTCAGTGTCTTGTTTATAAAAGCTCATTGCATGATTTTTATCCAGACCATTTTTCTGTCCTCATTGCTGTGAAATATTTCCACTATGTAATAACAGATAATTTTAAACAAGGACATCTACTTCTGTATATGTTTTGGGTGAATTTTCCTAATTTCTAGACATTTAATTCATAAATCAAAATTATCGATTTTATGAAATGTGTATCGATTATTGATCAACAGAAAAATATCAATGATACATCGGTATTGTTTCTATCGATGACAGATCTATTCAATGGACAAGGGTAAGAAACTAAGATGAGAAGTATTATCATTTACCTGGAAAGCTGCATACTCAGCATCCATGCTATTAGCACCTGACCCACATCCTTGACCTTGATCATCATGGGATATATGCTCTCTATCTGTTTCCTCACCATCATGACTAGTATCCAGTTGCTTCAAAAGTTTGCTTTTCTTCAGTGACAATAAACTATCTGTTAGAAGAATAATATTATTCACATATCATTTTTTTTTTGCATAACATCACATTATTTGCTTTTTTGCTCAGTACATTATTTCCTTCTGTATTGAAATGAAATTCTGATGCTAGAAGTGTTTTACTTAAAATATTGAATTAATGTATAAGGCAGTCTCTGATTAGTTCAAAGTATGAAACCATTGTCTTTATACATTTTGTACATGATGAAAACAGTAGCTGCCTACTATTAAGATGAGGATATTTTTAACAGTTTGGAAGACAGTTGGAAAAAAATACTGTTTTTTTTCTGGCAATGTGATTCCCAATATCATCCAATGAATAATGTATAATAAGATATTTTGAGAGGTTAAAATTTCTTGAAAATCAACATTGAAGACATTGGCAAGGTGATGTACTGACTAATTTCTACTTTAAAATTCAGTTCTGTTAAATTCGTATCGTAGATAATAAGGGAACACTTATTTTTGTCATCTAGTTTAACTTTAAGGTAATAAGTTTAAAACATAAACACTTTCTATATTTGCATGAAAATGAAATCTATGCTTAATCCTTGCAAACATTATCTGAACTTTTCTGTACACCGCCTGAATCTTACATTTTCCTATTATTATACAACTACTTTCATTCAGTACATCTGAACTCTGTACGTTATAAACCAAGTAGAATGATTAACTGATAACTTTATAACATGATTTTCAGTACTTTATAGAAATATATCAGTGAAATATAAAACTGCTATTTTACTGTTTGAAACAGTAATATTATCAATTTGATATTTTTTACTGTTTGAATGTTGTATCAGTGAAATACCAGGATGCATAGTACTGGAAACCAACTTAATGATGTGACATGAACTAAACAATTATCCCCTATTTAATTTTAGTTTACCTTCTGTGAGTTTGATGAGGTCTTGTAAATCTGTTTGTAGTGCTTCAAGATCAGGGGTAGAACCAGCAGCTTGAATGGCCTGTTGTACTTGAGATAGCTGTTAGTATAGAAAATTACCTTTTAACATAATTTATAGAAATGAGAGGCCATGATGCTCAGCTTTGAAAGTTTGATAAAGAAAAGTCATAGTTCTTTAATACAGAAAAGTCAGTAACAACTCACATTAGTGCAAAGTCATTAATATTGACCCCATGCAGGGCCATGATTCATAAAACTTGTGTAGAAGTACTACACTAAGCAATTCTACATGTCTAATATCTAAGCTCAAGGCCATGTATTTCACTCAAAAGGATTTATTCATTTAAATGTGTTTTCCTACATATTATAAGTTCCTATAAAATAAGTGAACCCCCTTTTAGACAATTTTGACACTAGTTAATGACACACATGTCTAAAAGTGTTAAAAGTGTCACATGGTGATGCAACATGCCATATATTAGAGTCAGAGCTCTCAGAAAGGTCAGAATTATTTTCTTGCACAACTGACCTCATTCAGTTTATATCTTATCTATCTTCAATTGAATCAAACCCCTGCTGTGGACCTAAACTTTGCATGTCATTAGCAAGACGGATAAAAACAGGTATAAAAGCAGAATAAATGTTTTAAAGATAAAAACAGGATTGAGGGTGTCTAGGGTGAGACATGTTCAATCTGGCTTAGCCTTTCCTCAATGAAAAACAAATGAAATTGTCCGAAAAATTGTGTTGTCCAAAATGCAGCCATTTCACCAAAACTTGTATTGGAATGTTAAACAAATGTAAGATGAAAATAACAACAGGAACCTGAAGTTGATATGTTTGTATCGATGCATGAAGCTCCTCTTCTTCCATTCTGCGTGAAATTTACTAAATACTGTTATAGAAAATTTAGAAATAAAATTCTAGACAGAGTGCTAAGAGTTAACTGCCCTTGATCCTAGGACCTTAGTTCAGACGCCACAATATCTGCCTCGCGGGTAGTTAGATTTAGTGTTGGGATACTGAGCAATTAAAAAAGTCAAATCACACTTTATAAATACTTCATAGTCTTATACACCAGTATTCATTTTTTTAAATAGCCTTTTTACACTCCCGATCACAGTGAGTGCAGCCACTGTACCGAGTAGCCCGGGGTTCTATGATATCACGGTATTTAACGTTTATAAGAAAATTTTTAAATATAAAAATCATACATAAATAAGATTTTTCTTCTATTTAATAAGTGAAATTTTCCAAAACTGTTTGTCAGAGATTTATTTCAAAAAACTATTTTCATTGTCTGCCAATTTGGGTGATTTCAGAGGAGGTTACTACGGTATCACGGTAATTCCCAAAAAAATGCAAGTATGGGAGAATGGATATGTGTCAAAATCTTCAAATAAAGTTGTGAATATCTTCCATTAGCTAACTCACTATAAAATATATTCATTATTCACAAAATTAAATTTATTGGCAGATACTATGCGATTTAGTTTCACATTTTTAAGGTATCATCAACATGTGTTGCTTTCACATGCAGTCACAGAAAATGTAAATACCGTGATATCATAGAACCCGTTATATAATAGGAAGAGTGTTAAAAAATAATAAATGCGACGTGTATACATTGAAAAAAAAGTAAAACGTATGGAGGTGTATAATCTTGCATTGTGAAATACGGAAAATATGGCTAACAACGATAGGCCTTCTAAATGATTATAATTAAGACTGTCACTTAAGCCAAACTGTTAATTCTCTAACCATTTCCCTCTCACGATAAAATTTATTTAGCCTGTCCCCCCTTAATATTCTTAAAAAGTGAAATTAAAAAAAAAATGTATATAATTAGCAATTTGTCAAATCAGGGTCTTTCTATTTGAAAGACCCTGGTCAAATCAAGAGTATGACTGAGTGCGAGATTGTTGTTTTTTCTAATACAAACATGTAAAATGTATGATAAGTATTAAGCAAACAACAATTAATAAACATCATTATGTTAAGTAATGAACCGTTCTGTTGTTAAAATTCTTTCTGAATAAACATAATTCATCAATATTTTAACACCAAAGATAATAAACATTATTCAAATATTAATTGGTATCAAGTGCACCAAGTGTATAAGGTAATAAATATAATAATTAATATTATGAGAGCAATTTGTTTGTTGAAACTTTATGATCAAAAGCTAGAAAAATATATAATAACAAGTGCAACAAAGGTGAAAGCTAGATCCCGAAAAATGATTTGAATTGATATAAAAAGAATAACGTACATGTATGTCGTTAATTAAATATTGTGCAATGTTACACAATTATCAATATTATTTGCGCTTACGAGATCAATATAATGATTACATTGTTAAAATGATGCAACATGCCAAAACTGAATATAACTTAACAGTTTTGCACGATTAAACCGTGCACTGTTTATATAAATGTTGAATTTAAAAAGACAGAAAGAAAGAAAACAGAAATGCTTCGAAACTTTCTTTCAAGATATAAGAGGGAAAAAACAACAACAACAACAACAAAAAAAAACAAAAAAAAAAACAACAGCAACAAACACACGAAACATTTTGATTAATTACAAAACTTGCAATGCGACGACCTTTTGAACATTAGAGACGTCTTAAAGTATTGACAGAGGTGATTCCTTCGAATTTGTCATATGGGCATTTACATTGTCGGGTACGTGAAACGGTGCAGATTTTCCGTAATACGGTGCTTCCATCCAAGATGAAGGAACGGTTAAAAACAAAAAGATACGTGTTATTTTATTTTTATATGTATTAAAATAAATCCGTTTATATAGTAAAATAAAAAATCTGTCAAAATTATTCTAAACTATTTGTCTAGTTTTTTCTTTAGCGTTTAAGTAAACATGCACAGTTTATTTGGCGTTTGGGTATATCAATAATTTATTATAATTTAATAGTTTTCTTACCATAAAATGTGTCAATATTATTATGAAACGGTCGGCGCATATGCAGACGAACCTACTCCGAGTTAGAGGTAGAACAGTTAGGGAAGGAACTGCACGTGGTAAGGGGAAGAATAAAAACAATCTGACTACCATTGCGGGAATGACGCGGGAAGAAGGAGAAGCTTGTTATAGTTAGTCTCAGCTGGGATAACCTTCTATAGAGATTTGTTGTCTTAAACATCGACGAGAGCCTATGTACATTCAATAAGGCGGAGATCTAGTTGGCACCAGTTAAGCTAGGGACTGTCCATCCGAGATATGACACAATGCAAGACATTTGAACAGATCCTATATGACAATTTGCATTCAAGTTACGGGAACCAGACATGAAATGCGTATTCCGAACAATAGTCAAGTATACAATTGCCTAAAACGGCTATGAAATGGCCTGTACATTTCGGCATAGAAAAAACATCAGTTAACAGTTTAAAAATTACACTTATTGTCTCATGAAAGGTCATATTATGTTAATCTTACATTGTAAAAATCGATTTTAATCAGCAACAAGTTTTCTTTGAATAGAAATATACACAAAGGGCTTTGTTTCTTAGTTTTAACTTGAAAATTTATCAATCATCCATGGGTTTAAATAGAATATAAAATCATTTGGATGCTTTAAAAAAAGAACAAACAAAATAACACTGAATGATTTTCATCCAAAATAATATGCAAGCAGAATCATTACTTTCATTAAAGCAAATAATAAAAATAAAAACAAAAACAACTACAAAAAAAACAAAAAAACAAGAAAAAACAAAAAAAAAACAAGAAAAAAAAAATAAATAAAAGTCAACAACAAGGAATACATTTCTCTTTTTTGTCCATATCTTCATATTCAATTCTGGAATACTAAGTAACCCTTAAACAGCTTCTATAAAAGAATTTAGAATATAAAATAGTCATACTCACTGAACCATATTTTCAACTTAAAAGCGGTATTTTCAAAATACAGCTTCTAAGTGAAAATATGGATCATTAAGTAATGGTCATATGCGCTTTAAGTATTTGGTAAAATGTTTGTTTTTGTTTTTCTTTATTTTTGTATTTTTTATGTCTTGTTTCTTGTACTATAAGACGTCGTAAATGATTTGATGTATAAATAATACTACATGCTGTATAATTCTCGTCTGTTGATCACTTTTAAAAGAAAATACTACACTTAAAATATCAAAATAATATGATTATATGATTATTTTACACGGCCAGTACAATAAACGTGTACATAAATGCCTCAGGGTAACTGTTTAATCATACACTATGTTATCTGTTCATCTTTATTTTTCATCTTTGTAAAAACATTGTGTATAGCTTAGAAATCTTCATTCCGATTTCAATAAACAGAATAACAATCAAGGTGATGCCTGGATGCCTTGAAACAATTCTAACCTTAACATACTCGAGCATATGGCTATCAACCAAATTGCAGTATATTTATGTAAACTATTGTGCGCAGTGATTGTTGTAGCTATAATAATGGATCTACTGTTTGATAATGGCGACAACTCTAAATATAGAGATGATAAAAAGGAAGAAATTCCCAAAGAGAGAAATAACTCATATAGTGGAAACTACAATTTAATTATAAACACCTACATGAGAAGTGGGTCGACCTTTCTCGGGAAAATATTTTCAATTCGGAAGGATACATTTTACGTTTTTGAACCGCTCTGGAAGGCTCAGACATTTGCATTTTACTGGGGCTCAAGGGATGTTTGTCACTACAGTGAAAGTAAGTGCGCAAAACAAGGAAATGAAGCAGTGTCAAAGGATATCGGATCTTCAATAACTTGGGAATCATCAAAGAATTTCTTACAAGGTGTTCTGGATTGTTCTTTCACACACCATAAAACGTTCTTACCTGATCCAAGGCATTTTCCAAAAGAATTTCCGAGTGAAAAACATTCTTGGGTGTTTGGTAAAGGTCCGCTTTGGGATGTGTACTTTGATTGTGCAAATATGCCACAGTCCACTTACAAACAGTGTTTTTCATTAATACCGCCTGTGTGTCAAGGTGCCCATCACAAGGTAATGAAAGTGCTTCGATCAACACTTAATAATTTCGAAAACATGTTAAAAACCAACGTAAATCTCAAAGTTATACATCTTTTCAGAGATCCTCGAGGAATCGTAAACTCTCATCTTCATACAAGATTTTACCAATCGAGAGTGAGAACAACGTCACAAATTGAACGTGACATCAAAACATTGTGTGACAGAATGCAGTACGACATTAAAATTGCTTTACGACTGAAACGCTTGTTTCCCGGTCGTTTCAAAATCGTTCAGTACGAGACATTCGGAGATTTATTTAGCAGCGCACGCGCTTTGTACAAGTTTATGAAAATGGGATTAACTGATGAAATTCAGAAAAACTTAGGGAAATTGATAAGGGCCGAAAATTCAACGAAAGGATTTCATCCGTTTAATTATAGGCTTAGTTTGCCGTGGGCGTCAGAGAGAATGGCAAATAAACATTGCAGTATGGTCTTTACTTCTCTGGGATATCCTATGTTTTTGGGGTGGAAAAAATTTAAAAAGAAAATTTTGACCTATCCCAAAAAGCTTCCCTTTCACAAATGTACTAATAAAAACATTGTATAAATTTTAAATGAACCTTTTTTTCAAAAAACTTTACCCAAAGTTCGTACATATTGTGGGATATTTTTTTCAATGAACCATTGCCCTTAAAACGCTTGTTAGAAAATTTTATTTTTGTTTCAATTAATTTTTTCCCTACAATTTTTGTTTTTTAAAAAATGTAACCCAAAGGGAGTTTTAATTGCTGGAAATTCTAATTTTAAAAAATAAAAGCAACGTGTTTGTTTTAAAAAATCGACATAGGCACTGAACATTATAAGAATCTTACACCGGTTGCCGGTACAGACCGGAATATCTAGCTCGAGGGTAACTGTTTACGGCGGTAACGAGGCTCTGCCGAGTTTCCGCTAAACAGTTACCCGAGAGCTAGACATTCCCGTCTGTACCGACAGCCGGTGTTTGATTCTTTTTCTTGCATATTAAATATCAATTATTTTCGGCACAGAAATTACGAAAACTGATATTCTCATTACGCACTTTTTTCTAATAGTAGCGTATGAACATACAAACTTCATTCATTACGGAAAAATGACGTCATACTAAGGACGCGATTCATTCATAAAAGGCGCGCGTCAATGACGTCATTTAAAGCACGCGACTTGTCTTACATGGGGGGTGTAAGACAGAGTTTTCTAGCACCGGTGTAAACGGTAGATAATCCTGTCTGAGATGCAAGAAAACAATTAAAGACATGAGTGAGTTAAACAAAGCTAATTTAAAGCATTCAAGACAAATAATTTTATATTGCTGGATTGCCAATAAAGATGAATAAATGTAATGTTAAAATATTTGAAGCAAATGTTTGAGTCACGTCAACTCTCCAACTCCTCTTTAATTACTTTCCTTATATTGAAAAAAATTACGATGGCTTCAGATTGAAGATGAATATATAATAATCTTTTTTCTTTCAAATATTGCAAGATTGCGTTGATATGTTTTCAACAGCATACATAAATTGAAAAATTGCTTTGTAGCTTTTACTGTTAACTTAATGCTTTATTCACTTTTAGTTCTTCATTCATAAGATAAAAAAACATTAAAGGTAAAACTTCCTTAAGAAATCATCTAAGCTTGTATGCCATTATCTTAGGGTATAATTAAAATGTCAGTCATTGCGACTTTTGTTCCGATATAATCATCATACAACTTCCGGTCTACCAGAGCAGGTTATTTCCATTCAATAGCCAGTACTGTCATTTAAGGTAATGAGTGTTCTCATTGAATGTCTGTTGTTATGAAATCTGGTTTGATTTTGTAATTTAAAAAACAACAACAAAAAACAAACAACAACAAGAAAAAACATTCTAATATGATAACCATAAAGATAATTTGAATGAATTAAAGACTAATATTTGTTCTTCTTCATAAGCTCGGGAAGGGATACTTAGGGTAAGGGATACTTAGGGTGATATATACGGTAACTTACATCAACCACTGCTACTCATGATCAAGATCAATCGAGACAAGGCAGAAATGTTGATATTACTGCCGTGTCAGGCGCCATTTTAAGTTTCAACTTTTGCTTTGGTGCAGAAGAGAAGCTTTTATCATGATTGATTTATTTTCAGAATTATTAAGCTTTATTTCATGTGTTGCATATACCTCAAAACACGTCAATTTTCCGTAATTACCCCTTTAGAAAAGTTCTTGGAGCTATTGTATTTTCCATGGGACCTTATGACCGATCAGTTTAGATTAATATATTCATGGGAAGGATTTAATTGTATAATAGATCAATGCCACATCTGACTTTGTTTTATTTGGTTCTTTTCTCTTTCTTTGGATGTTAAAGCTTGCTATTTAAAAATAAATTTGTCATAAGTTGTATATAGAGGATATTCAAGTTTTTTCGATAAATACACGATTTATTTTCATCGAGTGGTATGAAAATAAATATTTCATGAGTGACGGCAGTCACGAGTGAAATATGGTAAGTTTCATGCCACAAGATGAAAATGAATCATGTATTCATAGAAAAAACTTGAATTTTCTATTTATTATATACACTTTTCTCTTTTTTGACATTACAATTTGAAAGACTTTCCCTTAAGTTTTGTGTACTGGCAGAATTTAAAAGAAAGTAGTCCGGCAAGACACCAGTGAAAATACGGAAAATATGTTTCACTGCAGTGAAAAATAAATTTTTACAGTGAAAATACGGAAAATGAAAATACGCATTTTATTTCATCAATATTTCTCAATATTTCATTTATAAGTATATAATAAATTTAGTATATGTCTCAATATTTTTTTTTACAGAAAACTATTCTGCCAATCCTTTTGTTTTACTTCTATATGACACAATCAAAATTACCATGCAATTCAAGTAGTTCTAAAATGATGACTTGTTTATGCTGATATTCTTACGATAAGTTTAGAAATCTAGAAAAGATTTTCCTGCCTTAATTGCTATCTGTCTTAACATCTGTAGATATGAAGTCAATTCTCATTTCCAAACGCTAACATCACGCATTCAAGACTTATTCTAACATATCAACACACGTCATTCATGATTGTATGACGTTTTTGTGATGGCGATATGTACTTTTATAGTTGAAAATTATAGGTAATTTTGTTATGATAAAAACTGATAAACAGGAGATCAACAACAGAATTATTTGAAAATTGCAGACTCGGCAATAAACAGGCAGATTCAACTGATATGTTAATAGCGACATTCAAATGAAATATTTGAAATAAGATGCACAGACGCTCGTTTATATTAAGTATTATTTTACAAAATTAATACAGTTATTTGATGTGCCAGAACTAATTACCTTTTTTTACGCCGGTATACAAAGCTACGATTACTTAGATCCATCCAAACATAGAAATTATACGTGGCGGAAAAAAAAGACGAATATAAAAAACTTACTGAAGGTTATGGCATTCAAGACTTTGAATACGACATCAGTTGGTAAGACAAATATCGCTGAAACATTAGTTTATCCAAATCAGACGTAAGACGGAACAATTTAAACATGCCCACACAAACATTGAAATATTTGCATTCTTGTTAATTTATCACTATTTTTATTAACTATTCTGTTATATGTTGATTTTGTGTACGGTATACAAAAATTTATAATAATATTGATTTCTCTCTTCTACCAAAGTATAATATTTATTCAAGGCTTGAGATATGTCTTGACCATGAAAGCCGATTTTCTATAAACAAAACATAAATACTAGTACACCGACTGAACGCTCTGTAAACATAAAATTTTGACTATACATACATGTACATGTAAATTTTATAGAGTTTTACTTGCACGAAAGTATGGTGCATTTTACGAACGTGTATTCACTTGATATATAGAAAGACCAAATAGCCGGTACCAAAAACAACCATGCAACGTGGAAATCTCACTGACATATTGCTTGGTTAGGGTTTTGACGGTCATAATGTGCAAAGAAGACCTTCCAAAGAAAATCCGACAAATCTCTACAGTATGGTCAAGAATAGGGCGCTTGTTTTAGAAACTTTATACACTTTATATAGAAAAAGAACAAATGGCCGTTTTTCTATGCGGAAATCTCCCGGACATATTACTTGGGATAAAGATTTGAGCTTATTGTTTTGGGAAAACGACCTTCTAAACTTGTACCAAAATAACTCCTCTGCGGAATCGGTTAATGTTGTTTAAACTGTCGACTCTAGAAAATGTTGTTTTTTTCGAAAATTTATACACTTTATGTAAATAAAGAACAACTCGGAGATCCACAAAAACGACCATAACACGTTGAAATCTCCCGGACATATTTCTTGGGTTAGGGCTTAAAGGATCATGATAAGCAAAGAAGACCCTCCAAATTTGTACAAAATCGACTTTTCAAGGAAATCTGACATATGTTATACAGTATGCGCGATAATAGGGCGAATTTCACAAAAGTTTATACACTTATAGAGAAAGAACAAATGGTCGTTTCCAAAAACGACCATTCCATGCGGAAATCACCCGGGCATATTACTTGGGATAGAGTTTTGAGCCTTATGTTGTGTGAAGAAGAATTCTAAACTTGTACAAAAACGACTCCTTTTCGGAATCAGTCAGATGTTGTTTACATTGTCGGCTCGAGAAAATGTTGTTTTTTTTCTTTTCGAAAATTTATACACTATACATATATATAGAACAACTCGGAGGTCCAAAAAACGACCACGTGGACATATCTTGGACATTATAGTTTGGTAAGGGCTTTAGTCCTCATATTGTGCACAAAAGACCCTCCAATATTGTAAAAAACCGAATCTGAAACGGAGTCAGACAAATGGTCTGTTAAAGGTTTTCAGTAGAAAAGTGTTTTTTTATGGAATTTCTTAGGCTTTATATACTTAAAAAAAATAATCATTGGTCCAGAAAATGACCATTTAACGCGGACTTTTTGCTAAAAGAAATTCTTTGACATTTATATTGCTGTGAAGAAAATCCTCTAAACTAATACATCAAACAGTATGCTCGAGAATATGGTGCTTTTTTACGAAAATTTATACACTTTATTTAGATAAAGAACAACTTGGAGGTCCAGAAACCCGACCATCTCCCGAACATATCGCTTTGGTTAGAGATTTGACGATCATAATGTGCAAAGAAAATCCTTCAAAGCTGTACAAAATCGACTGCGGAACGGAATCGAACAAATGGTGTCTTTATAATATGCTCGAAAATATGGTGCTTTTTACGAAAAAGTATATACTTTATACAGAGAAAGAACAAATAGCTGTTACCAAAAACGACCCTGCCATGCGGAAATCATACAAACATATTGCTTTGATTAGGGCCTTGACGATCATAATAAGACCCTCAAAAGTTGTACAAAATCGAATCGACAAGGAAATTTGACAAAAGGTGTCTTTACAGTATTCTCGAGAATATGGTGCTTTTTACAAAAAATTATAAACTTTATTTTAACAAAAATAGCTGTTACCAAAAACTACCCTGTCATGCAGAAATCTCACGGACCAATTGCTTTGATTAGGGCCTTCATGATTATAATGTGCAAAG